GGATCTTTTCGTATGCTCTTGGATAGCATTGGTTTTCAGATACTGGTTGATCGCTAAACTTGATTTTCCTCTTTAGAGGCTTGTTAGCCTAGGCACCAGAGTTGCCGATGTAGATTTTGAGCGATGCCCAGAGTGGCGACAGATCAAGGGCGTAATTAGGGTTGAGAGGTTTAGGGGTTAGGCAACTAGAGGGATTAGATTGAAGGCCGGGTTAAAACGTGGTCTGATGCTAGAAGTTTCAAAACCGGAACAGACCTTGTCGTGTGCTCTCGGATAGCATCGGCTTCCAGGCTTATATAATATATCTATCTATTATATATAGAGATCATATATATAATATATATTATATAAGCCTGGAAGCCGATGCTATATATAACTCAAACAAAGGATTAAGTAAATAAACAATACTAAAGCTTAGGGATCTTGTTGGCGCTTTGCGACGTCCTACAGGAATCGTGCCTCGGAAGATTATCGGGTTTGGGACTTCGGCTTTAAGGCTTCGAGGCTTAGGGGTTAGGGGGGTGGTTTGGGATTAGAGGGTTTAGGGATGGCCTTCCGTTTGATTTAGGGTTTAGGGATTGCTTTCTGGTTTTGGGCATTGCAGTTCAGGGTGGGGGCTAAGTGAAGCACTCTAGGATGAAGGTTCCGGTTTGGGAGTTTGGGCCTAAGTCTTTCTCACTACAGCAGGAGATCCTACCACCGCATACCCCAGAAGACACATTTTAGCAACATTTTTATGATCTATACTCGCGTAACCTTGCTCCCCCAAAGGCCCGCAACAGCAACTCTGAAATTATGTATGTATACGAACGGCAGAACTTTGCCCTGCAGCCCCCCACGGCTAGTGAAGTAGAGAATTCGTAGGCCATGCAACAAAAGCGAAAAGACTAAACCCTACATCCTGACAGAAAGATTTAGCGATCACCCCGAATCATAGCTACATACCCTAAACCCACACCGCGGGAAACTACAAAACCCCACACCCTTACAGAAAGGTTTAGCGGTCAACCCGAATCATAGCCACATACCCTAAACCCACACCGCGGGAAACCACTAAACCCCAAACCCTTACAGAAAGGTTTACCGGTCAACCCGAATCATAGCCACATACCCTAAACCCACACCGCCGGAAACCACTAAACCCTACACCCTTACAGAAAGGATTAGCGATCAATCCGAATCATAGCCACATACCCTAAACCCACACCGCCGGAAACCACTAAACCCTACACCCTTACAGAAAGGATTAGCGATCAATCCGAATCATAGCCACATACCCTAAACCCACACCGCCGGAAACCACTAAACCCTACATCCTTACAGAAAGGTTTAGCGATCAATCCGAATCATAGCCACATACTTAGAAGCTGCCCCCACCCTGTAATAGTGACCATAAGGATTATGTAGGATTATATTAGGGCCCTATTATATATTCCTATTATACCACTATTACAGGGTGGGGGTAGCTTCTAACACATACCCTAAACCCCACAGCGAGGTAACCCTCAACCGCGAGATCACTGCTGGGCACCAGGCCCCGTCACCATAATCTTCGGCCCATTGTTGCAACATCGGACCCGGCTTTGTACCTGGCATGGATCGGGATAATATGTTCAAAAGGGTGTTGGGCAGAAACTTCAGATCGCTTTCAAACTTCAGATCGTGTCTTTTCGCACATCCCAGCCCTAGCTTTGCACTTGCAACGATATGCGAAATTCGTACATCTAAAGCAGGTAATTAAACCTTGGGGCAAAAGCTTGGTCCTGGAACCTTCATTTGATCAGGCTACACTGCACAGGCCTAGCCTAGCTCGTTGCACAGTAGGTTTACCCCTAAATCCGCAGGATCAGCAGCCCAAATTTCGCAAACACATCGCCTTTAGCGACTCTAGTCGTTCTTTGCCTGTGCCTTTGCCTTTGCCTTGCCCTTTGCTTTTGCTTTGGACTTAAAGGCGGCTTTAGCTTTGGCCTTGGGGCGAACTTCAGGTGCCTCACCTTCCGGAGCACGTTTGCTTCCTCGTGCTGGCTTCTCGGCTTCACCAGGACCAGGGCAGTCCTTCTTCATCGAATTGGTGCTGACAGTCCTGGGCATTTATTTTTAGGATTTCGGGCTCAGGGGCTATGGAGGACCCATAGAAGATGCATCATCTTGAAATCGTAAGTCCCAAACTTGGCACGGGGATCCAGCAGCATGCACTGCACACACCTAGGACCAGAATAAGAACCCAGGCTGCATGCTGCCGGTAAAGGCCTGGAGCAAGGCCCTGACAGGTCGCGGTTCTGCACCAAAGCAGACCGAAGCTTGGATTGCAACCTTTGCCACGCGGGAGCATTCAAAGTAGGGCAACTATAACCCTTTAACATCAAACGAGCTACTCGCCATCGTACCCATCCAGCATGCCCTGCTCGTAAAGCTTGGTCATCTCAGCATCTGCAGTTGCGAGGTTGTCTCGCATCTGGGTAAGTCGTTGCATCATCCTCGAATGCAGCTGCTTGGCGTGATAGCCGGGGCTTGAAACCAGCATTGAATTCAAGACTGTTTTTTGCAACCGGGCGGCTTCGTCACGAGGTCAGATTCCACACACAGCAACAGCTCGCTCATGCGGGCCGAAAGCTTAGCTAAGCATTTCTGCACGGCGGCTCCTGCTTTGGGCACTATTGACGAAGGCACCGAAACCTTCTCCAGGTCAGGGAAGCACTGCAGGGTCTTTTTGTCCACCCCATCTAGCGAAGGCCCCTGATTTGCGCCACCAGCCGGTGCACCTCAATTGAGAACACCCCTAAACCCAAAAAAACAGAACTACCCTAAACCCCCTAACCCCGAATCCCTAAACACCTCAGGCCCGAACCTTAACTCGAGATCATAAAGCCTAAAAACCTGAACCTGTAACCCCAAACTCGAAAGCCTAAATAAAGCCTAAACCCTGGCAATGATGGGGCTTGTAGCTTGCCTACAGGCGAGGCTTAGCCACAAGCTCTAAACCCAAAAGCTCTTTCAGTGCAGCAAACAATGATAACCTTGAGTTGAAACTCTAGAACTAGTTTTAAGATATAAGAACAAACATACATGCAAGGATGCAAGCAGGGTTGGGTATTTACTTGTGTATTATACTGTGTATTCTGCATTGCGGTTGCAAAAGTTGTTCCTTAGGATCAGAAGTGCAAAACTCGGTGGAGTCAGATACAACCTAAGGCTAGCAGAGCTGAGGAGTTACATATGTATAGGTAGTGGTCATGGAGTCATGGGGTTTAGGGCATCAGCATTATTGGTTGCTTGGGTGTTTGGATGTGTAGACGATGCTTTGTGGGGTTGGGGGCATCTTTATGAAACGGGCCCATGGTACGATCTCCCCCCGAAATAATTCTGAAGGTGCACCCTGCATATCCATCTTCCCCCAATCCATGGCGAGGTCTTTGTCCTCGATCTCGCCCTCCTCCTCTGCCTCCATCATTCGGCGAACGATGGAGCGGTGGGTCTTCCTCCATTGGAGGAAATCAGGATTGAGGGCTAGAGGGTTTTAGGGTTCAGCTTTTCGATTCGAATTAATGGCCTAAATTATATAGCCTAGTCTAGCACGGCAATATATGAGTTCACATTTTAGGTCCGGGGTTTGAGGTTTCGGGTCTGGGGTCCAGGGTCTATGGGTGATTTTGGCTTTCAGGGATTGGGGCTTCCAGTTACTGGTAGCGAGTGGTTATAGGGCCAATTGGGAATTCCAGTTTTCGAATTTGTAGATTGGCGCTTAGGTTGAAAGAGGTTGTGTCTTTACTTATATTATATTTAAGTCGTGGTGCATTAAGCGGGCATATGTCGTCCAGCATATACGGTCTAGATTTTAGGGTTCCCCGGTGTTCAATCGCAGGACTCATGTTCAAGGTTCAGAATCTGGCGGTTGTGAGTTTTTCGAGAGGAGTGCAATCTTTCGGGGCCGAGGGTTTAGGGTTTGGGGTGCTAGGGTTTAGGGCTTTAGGTTTGAGGTTTGGGGCCTTGGGTTTAGGGTTTCGGGGCCGAAGGTTTAGGGTTTGGGTTGAGGGTTTGGGGCCTTGGGTTTAGGGTTTCGGGGCCGAGGCTTTAGGGTTTAGGGTGCTAGGGTTTCGGTTTCGGGCTCGAGGGTTTGGGGTCTTGGGTTTAGGGTTTCGGGCCCCAGGGTTGAGGGTTTGGGGCCTTGAGTTTAGGGTTTCGGGGCCAAAGTCTAAGGTTCAGGAGGTGTAAGAGGAGTTTGGTGTTAGATTTTAGGGTTTCGGGCCTTTATTTCGCATGGCAGCCATGTTTCTTCTTGGTACCGGTCACCTTCGTGTTGGTCCAATACATCGTCTTGTTCTCATACAGGGTGGTCCTGGCAAGAACATTTGCTTGTATGCACTGTCCTATGGTATTCTTATGCGTATTAGTCCGTCATGACATTCGGAACAAGGTCACTAGGTCCTCTTGAACCCTTTCTTCCCGTCTTGACACCGGCGATGCGTTCCCTTAGGATCAGCAGGCACACACAGCGAAAGCATAAAGGGCTGCCACAAAACTGTTTGAAGCAAGGTTCTCCGGCCAATTAGCTTCCCTCATCTCATCCTCGGTCATGAACTCCCAGTCCTCCTCGATTTCAACCACCTCCACGTCCTCGAGGGTCTTGTTGACCTTCTTCAGAAACTTTTCCTGGGCTGCAACAGAGTCAAGCAGTACACGGAAACGAAGTTCACACCGGAGTGTTGCAGACTAGCGACCACATGATAGCCACAGCGTTCAAAAGCACGAACGACGGTCGGCCTTGTGACCTTGTTCTGATACTCTTTCACCATGGACTCGGGCACCAGGTAGCTGCCGTCTTGTCTGGGGCGGAACATTCGCCACATACGTTTGGAAATCGCACCCTCAGTGATGCTTGGCAACTCCTGGGGAGGCTCCGGAGCCTCAAACGTCATTTCATACTCTTCTTCATCAAAGCTCATCTCCACAGCCAGCATGGGGCCTTCATCAGGGCCTTGTGCCCACGTCATGTTCAAGGGCCGACCAGCAGGAGGCTCAGCAACATCATCACCGGAACCCTTGCCTTTACCCTCAGCACACTGTCCACCCTTCCCCTTGCCCGGCTTGGACGTACGAACAGGCACCACGGCACGATCACCCGGAACAGGCGCCACGGCACGACCATCCGGATGTTCTTCATCCTGCATCGACAGACAAGTCATTAGTTACTCTATAGGTGCACAGCAACAACTGTCACAGGATGAACAAAATAGCAGCAAAAACACACACGAGCAAGCACCAGTCCTGGCTACTCGGCACAGTCCCAGCAGTCTCAAGCTCCGATTGGGAAGGCGATCGATGCGTGGGAGTCTGAGGCGATTGCACAGACAACTGAGCCGGGGGAACATCATCCTCGGGAACACTCGTAGGTGCAGACTCTGGCAGGGTCAAGGACAAAGCTTTCATAGGCGAAGCCACAAGCCGAGGCGAGACGGGGTTCGGAAGGGTGCAGGCCAAAGCTTTCGTAGGCGAAGTCACAAGCCGAGGCGAGACAGGGTCCGAAAGGGTCGAGGCCCAAGCTTTCGTAGGCGAAGCCACATCAGCCCCCTCATCTCCAAGTTGCTGAGTGTCTGCATGCCTCAGAGCCCAAGCACCTGGAGACATATCAAGGTTCTTTATGTTCCTGCCACCAGAACGATGAAGTCGTGCAGGAGCCGGCTTCCGTGGCGTCTCGTCTGGTGCCGAGTCGGACACCGTGATCACTGGAAACAGGGGCTCGTCCAAAGCCGCAGCTCGCTCGGCAGCCTGCCCAGAAGCATTCCAAACAACATTGGTTTGGGGTATGCGGTTTTAGGGCTTTAGGGGTTAGGAGTTTAGGGTTTAGGGATCGGGGGTTTAAGGCTACATCAAGGCAGAGGATCAATTGTAGCACTAGGACCACGGAAAATCGCAGCATTCCTAGTGAAAGTAGAAGTAGGTTCAGGGGTTAGGGTTCGTTCAAGGAACATTGGTGGAGGCTATTATATCAAGGCAAAGCAAACATAGTAATACTAAGACCACAAGTGACGACTGGTGGCAGCATTCCTAGTAAAAGCACTAGTAGGTTCAGGGTTCGGGGTTCGTTCAGGGTTTGAGGTTGAGGGTTTCTGGTTTCTAATGTAGAAGTAATAGGAGAAGTTGTCGGTTGTGGTGGCAGCAGTGGTGCTGATTTTCGGGCGGTGATGAGGTTGATGGTCGAGATGTTTGTGGGTGCTGGCAATACTCGTGGCGGTGGCGACTTTTTGCTCTGCTCCCCTCGGCGACAACTCATATATGCCTCTTCTGGGCACAGTTTCATTACTTTAATCTAGCTCATTCAAATCTAGAACACTGCCATCTCCCTGACTTCCGTCGACCCCCACATATGTGGACTCTAACTTGGTGACTCTTGAATCCACTCGTCGTTGCTGCTCTCGGTCGTTCTTTGAGGGTGTTGCCACAGATCCTGCATGGTAGGACCTGCTCATCAAGGGTCCCAAGCTAAGTGAAGTAGACGACGATGATGATGTGCTGCTAAAGTCGCATCGTGAAGTGTGGCGGTGACCAAAGGAAATCTTGCACTTCGAGCAGCATGCCGAATATCCCGGGCTTGATAGCCTAACACATGTAGGCGTCCCACAGGTTTCCACAGCTCCCTGAATCAACTCAGGGTTTTGCCTGCCCAGTCGCCGTTGTGCTTTCTGACAGCGATCGGAATGTGCAGACTGCCCAGAAGCAGCGAACTCACAAGTCGAGCAGCAGTGTCGATGTTATTTTAGGGATGAACCGACGGTGGCATCCATGCGATGCACAAATCTGTAGCTGATACATTCCCCTTCCTGCACCCCCGGGCAATGTCTACACTACACCAAGGATGCACTTCATTCCTGCATACTGGATAAATCGGCGTCAATGAAACCGAGTCTTGGATAGCATTTGAGGTTTTGGGGCCTCTTGCCTTGCAGAAGTCTTGCAAGTCCTTGAGCACAAAACCATTGTTGTGATGTTGACATACTGCTTCTTTTCATGCACCAAAAAACCCGCAGTAGGATCCTATAGTTTTAGGGTTTGGGGGGTCGATCTTTTGTTGTTGTTAGTGATGGCTGTTTGTATGTGCTTGTTATTGTTGCTAGTGCTGGTGCTGCTGGCGGTGGCGGCGGTGTGGTTGGTCGCGGTGGCGTCTGTGGCTGTGGTCCTTGTTGGTGATGGTTGTTGTTGTTGTTGTTGTTGCTGTTGTTGTTGGTGGTGGTGGTGGTGGTGCTGCTTCTAACTCCATCAGGACCAACCCCTAAAATCCTAAAGTACCCGGACATCATTCAATACCCTCATCTTTAGAGCATCGATTTGAGTATGCTGTTCTGTACGAAGGATTCAGTTGCTTCCCGAGGAATGTGGGTGTGAGCACAGGCAGTAGGACTGAGAGGTCAGGGATTTGTTCGGGTTCGGGCTTGTCTAGTGGCTAGTGCTGAAGCAAAGAACTAATCAGCCTCGAGGAGGGCCAGCTCGGTCTCCATCTCCGCAAGGGCGGCACGTTCCAGGTTCAGGGTCATCTCTCAGCTAAGAAGCTGTACTCCTAGACCCCCAGAACACACTCTTGGACCAGGCACCGGCGCTGACACAGGCACCAGAGTACTGAACATTCAGCATGAAGCCCAAAACGTCCAAACGTGAGCCACAATGAAGCAACAAGCTCAGTTCAGCCCTATCCCGATTGGGCTGATTTTGCCGGACGCTTAGTTCCGGCCACTTCCCGGGTAGTTCCGGCCACTTCCCGGGCAGAAATTTTTCCCTCGAATTGCAGATATTTGCTGCTAGGCCAATTCAGCCCAGATCCCGAAAGACTCCAGTATTCAAGCTCAAGCGAACTCGGAAAGCTAGCCACCAGTTTCAGCAAGTGTTTCGAAAGAGGAACGAGGAGGTGTTGTCCGCCACGAACAGGAGCTAGTAGTTCCTTGGGTGTGCAAACAGTGCAAACGACAACTTGCAAGGAACGGCTTGGCTTCGACAGCTGATTGGGCGGAGGCTCCGAAACTTGTCTGGCATTGACGGGAGCTGGCTGTTCCTTAGATAGATTGTACATTATGCAAAAGTGGCCGCAAAGCACTCGAGTTTCAAGGCACCCATCTGCAGCCAACGATTTCGCAACCTATTTTTGGATCAGAGGCACAGTAACTTCAACAATCTGCGATCTCGCACCCGGCCATCCTGGAACCGGCTGTTCCTCGGTGACACGTTTTTGTTGTGTGCATTTAGAATCCATTTGGGGTCCTAATAAGCAACACCAATATATTTCTCAAGGAGTTTAAGCTCTAGGGAGTTATAGGAGTTTTATGAATGAAGCTGAAGCAGTACTAGTCTATAAGGCAGACACAAGCAGCGACTACTCGCTACGACTATTCATGATACCGAGTGATAATCTCCATAAATTACATCTTCAGCACCAACATGGAAAACCAAAACCGAAAGGTATGGGGTGTCTGAGCCGACCTAAGAGGCCCACGATCCTGACATCGAAATAACCCATCCTCAAATTCTAAAAAAATCCTTTTGGGATTGAGGCACTGGATGTTCCCCACGGTCAACTGGATGAGATTGTTCCTGAGATTTCACAACACGAAGGGGCCCCGGATCCTAAAACCGAAAACCCCATGCCAGATTCGCGAGCTGCTTTTGGATGAAGGCACTGGAAGTTCTCCGGGGCCAACACTAGGATCCGGTAGTCCCTCAGATTCAGATTGTTCCTGAGATTTCACAAGACGAAGGAGCCCCGGATCCTAAAACCGAAAACCCCATGCCAGATTCGCGAGCTGCTTTTGGATGAAGGCACTGGAAGTTCTCCGGGGCCAACAATAGGATCCGGTAGTCCCTCAGATTAACTAGAAGTTCTCGCAGGTCAATAGCATCCAGGGTTTCCTTAGATTTGGCAGGAACACCAGAGTTACCATAGTTACCAGTAGTCACAGCAACCGTAATATCAGCATCGAACAGCCAGCTTTGCAAGCTACTTTTTGGGATGGAGGCACAGAAACTTGTCGCCGACCAACAGCATCCGGTTGTTCCTCAGATTTGCCAAAGGAAGACCCGTAGTGACTAGTAGTAGTGCTAGTGGTTGTAGTAGTCGTAGTAGTCGTAATAGCACTAGTAGTAAGTAGTAGTAGTAGTAGTAGTAGTAGTAGTAGTAGTAGTAGTAGTAGTAGTAGTAGTAGTAGTAGTAGTAGTAGTAGTAGTAGTAGTAGTAGTAGTAGTAGTAGTAGTAGTAGTAGTAGTAGTAGTAGTAGTAGTAGTAGTAGCAGCACACAAACACAAATACATGCAACGGGTACATGTAATTGCATCTAATTTTCGCGCACGTAATTAGTCTAATTACGTGCACGAAAATTAGATGCAGTTACATGACTACTACTACGAGGACTACTACTAGCAGTCGAGTACGGGTGCATGTAATTGCATCTAATTTTCGTGCACGTAATTAGTCTAATTACGTGCACGAAATTACATGCAATTACATGACTACTACTACTACTACTACTACTACTACTACTACTACTACTACTACTACTACTACTACTACTACTACTACTACTACTACTACTACTACGAGGACTACTACTAGCAGTCGAGTACGGGTGCATGTAATTGCATCTAATTTTCGTGCACGTAATTAGACTAATTACGTGCACGAAAATTAGATGCAATTACATGTACCCGTTGCATGTATTTGTGTTTGTGTGCTGCTGCTGCTACTACTACTACTACTACTACTACTACTACTACTACTAGTACTACTACTACGAGGACTACTACTAGCAGTCGAGTACTCTGCCAATCACAATGTCAAGAACCACATCTTAAAACTCGGAAGCCCCGAATCCTAGTCAATCCCCTGGTGTCCCAAACACACCCTCACTCCAAACAAGGGAACATTTGGTTGCCATGACTAAAAGGGCCTCGGCGGAAACGGTGGGTCCGGGGTTTATGAAGTAATGGGTTTATGTGGGTTGCCACACTTTTGCTTACTGCAGCTAAGGTTGTGGATAGCTCCGGTCAAGAGGGTGTTAGATTGACGGGGGTTGCTGAAGGTTGTAACTGTCTGGATGCAAAGCATGCCTTCAAGGTCTGGGCTTTCCGGGGTTTAAGGATTCGGTCGGCAGTTTTGGGCGTGGTGCAGCAGGGATTTTTTGTAGGCCTGGACAAGGTTTAAGGATTGGGTTGGCAATTACAAGCGTGAGGCTGAGTACTTAGGGCTTAGGGCTCCGAAGGGGCTTAGGGATTCAGTTGCCAAGGTAAGGCATCAGGTGCACACCCAGACCCGAAACCCCAAGCCGTGAACCCTATACCAGGCTCCGGGACAAGGGCAGCTGAGTGTTCGGTAGAATAAAACCCAAAGCCCAAAGCTATTGTCAGGAATGCAGCCACGAAACAGTTGTGGAAGACTTCGGCAGTCGCAACCAGCTTGTCATCCAGATGGCGCAAAATAGACCTCATGTTTTGGGAAGTGCTGTATACGATGTTTCTAGCTTTGTAGAAAGCTCGATACATAAACACCCCCCATTCAGCAGAAGTGCTGTTTGTAATCCCATGGCAATCATCCGAGGATCGGCTCTACATCATACGGTGGCAGAGGTGCTGATGGTCGACAAGGCTAA